GATGGGAGGAGAGGGCCGGAGCCCTGCAGCCGCAGTGTGTCCCTGAGGGAGGGATGGGAGGAGAGGGCCGGAGCCCTGCAGCCCAGTGTGTCCCTGAGGGAGGGATGGGAGGAGAAGGCCGGAGCTCTGCAGCCGCAGTGTGTCCCTGAGGGAGGGATGGGAGGAGAGGGCCGGAGCCCTTCAGCCGCAGTGTGTCCCTGAGGGAGGGAGGCGGGGAGGGCCGAGCCCTGAGTGACCGAGTGACCACGGGCAGGCTGGTCCCCCGCAGACGCCGCTCACCCGCCTTTCTCGTGCCTTGCAGCCCTCGTCCTCGCGGCCCCCCGTGTCCCCACCACTTCCCGAGCGCCAGCCGGCCCCGAGGATGCCCAGGCCGCGGTCGCCATGACGTGGGACGAGAACGTGACGGGCCCCGACAACGCCACGCTGCAGATGCTGCGCAGCCCGGCGCTGGCCGTGGCGCTGCCGGCCGCCTACTCGCTGGTGGTGCTGGTGAGTGTGCCGGTGAACCTGTTCGCGCTGTGGGTGCTCTGCTGTCACATCCGGCCGCGCTCGCCCTCGGCCGTGTTCATGATCAACCTGAGCCTCACCGACCTGCTGCTGGCCGCGGTGCTGCCCTTCCAGGTGTACTACCACTGCAGCGGCCACCACTGGGTCTTCGGCCGCGCGCTCTGCAACGTGGTCACCGTGGCCTTCTACGCCAACATGTACGGCAGCATCCTCAGCATGACGTGCATCAGCGTGGACCGCTTCCTGGGCGTCGTGCACCCGCTGCGGGCGCTGCGCTGGCGCCGGCGCCGCTACGCCGTGCTGCTGTGCGCGGGCTGCTGGCTGCTGCTGCTGGCCGCGCTCTTCCCGCTGGCCCGCGCCGACCTCACCTACGCGGTGGGCGCGCTGGGCATCGTCACCTGCTTCGACGTGCTCAAGTGGACCATGCTGCCCGGCGTGGCCACGTGGGCCGCCTTCCTCTTCGGCATCTTCGTGGTGCTCTTCCTCGTGCCCTTCGTGATCACCGTGGCCTGCTACACGGCCACCATCGCCACCCTGCTGCGCTCGGCCGACCGCCACGGCCCGGGCCAGCGCCGGCGCTCCGTGTGCCTGGCGGCCGTGGTGCTGCTGGCCTTCGTCACCTGCTTCGCGCCCAACAACTTCGTGCTCCTGGCGCACATGGTGGGCCGCCTGTTCCTCGGCCGCAGCCTCTACCACGTGTACAAGCTCACGCTCTGCCTCTCCTGCCTCAACAACTGCCTGGACCCCTTCGTCTACTACTTCGCGTCCAGGGAGTTCCGGCTGCGCGTCCGCGACCTCCTGGGCTACCGGCGCCTGCCCGCCGGCGGCCCGGACGCGCGCAGGGACAGCGTCTTCTCGGCCAGGACCACGCTGTCCGTGCGCTCCGGCTCCACCGGGCACGGCGATGGTCGCGGTGGCGGGGACAGCGACGCAGCCGCCCAGGTGGGGCTCAAGCGGCAGGAGAGCGAGTTCTGAAGGGCCTCGTGTCGCCTGGCAGGGGCATGCGCTGCAGTCCCACCCAGGGACCTGGCAGGAGGCAGAGGCAGGAGGGTCTCCCGGGGCCGGGCAGGAGGCAGAGGCAGGAGGGTCTCCCGGGGCCGGGCAGGAGGCAGAGGCAGGAGGGTCTCCCGGGGCCGGGCAGGAGGCAGAGGCAGGAGGGTCTCCCGGGGCCGGGCAGGAGGCAGAGGCAGGAGGGTCTCCCGGGGCCGGGCAGGAGCGTGGCTCCAGGACGGATCCCACGGGCTTCCCGCACCTGGCATTCCAGCAGCAGCAGTTTACTGCAGTAGCCCCTCCGCTAGGAAACGCATGCATACGTGAGCCCCTGAGCCCCCAACTGCACGCACAGCCCCTCAAGGGGCAAGTTCAGGGTCCTGCTCCTGGGGCGCTTCCCGTCGTGCAGGGGAGACAGGCGTGCACACCCGGCGAGGGTCAGACACAGGCTGTGGGCCTCAGGGTCTCTGGTCGGGGCCTGCCACGCGCCCTGCCACACCCCGCAAGCCACAAATGCTGCCCACCCCGGAGGCCTCCTGCAATCCCCAGTGGCCAGCGGGACTCGCCCCACGCGTCCACAGAGCAAAAGGGACCCTCCTCCCCTGGCTGTCCCCAAGCCAGGCCTGGAAAGCAGGCAGGCGCAGCAGCCCCGCTGCGCCTGGGGGCTCTCGGCAGGCACGAGAAGCGTGAAAATCCCGAGCCGGCTGCCGAGGCCAGTCTGGGCGACGTCCTGCTTCGGGGACACTGCAGGACCCCAGCGTGAGCTCCGGGCACCGACAGTCCCAACGCTCGGAGGACACGGCGATGGACACGACCCGGGCCCGGCTTGAGTAGCTGACTTGGAGAAGTGGCTCCTGCCAAACGGGCCGGGAAACCCCAAACCTGGGGGTCATGTATATAGCTCAGCCGCGTGCAAGCTTGTGGAACTCATGAGAACCCTCCGGGCACGCCTAGCACTCGGGGGGCGCTTGGCTTCGTCGGTCGCGAGCTGGCTTCCCCAGCACAAGGGGGTGCGCGTGGACCCCATTTCTGTAGCCCCAGAAGGGAAACCAAGTTGCCCAAGGTCCGGAGACCAGCGAGCGGCCGGGGTGGCCCGACCTGGCCGCGACTGCACCCCCGTGCCCGGCAGACCTCAACCTTGTGGCTGCAGCGGAGGGCCGCCGGCAGGGGGCGGTGCTGCGCGGCCTCTGCGCTCCGGAATGGCTGCAAAATAAAGTTCTTGGCAAGAAAATGAGGCGTGTGGCTCACGTGCAGAGCGCAGCGACAAGGTCGAGGTCTGCTCTGCAGAACCGGGAGCCGGACCAGGCCTGCACTGGTCCCGGAGAGGCGCAGGCGTAGAGAGCCCGGGGCTGGTGAGGCCGCCCTTTGTGTCCCAGCAGGGCTCGGTGGCCCCGGCCCACGGTCCAGGCCTGGCTGAGCCTTCCGAGTGAACTATCCCAAACCCTCTTTATATGTTTAAAAAATTGGAGAGGTCTGGGTACGGTGCTCACGCAGGGCTCTAAGGATCGGTCCTCCTGACTCCTCATGCTTTTTCAGGGGTGAGTTATATTCCTCAGCTGGAGACCAGCATTTGTGCCTTGTGCGTAGCAGACAGCTGGAGGACCCGGCTTTGAGCGTTGTGACCGACAAACAGTAAACACTTCCCCTCCCGGACGCACAGCGTCACCCCGCGCTCGGCAGCTGTGTGCTGGTGGATCCACAGGTCTACCTACGTTCTTTATTCACACATCTTGGCTCTAGGAACTGAACCCAGGTCCTCGGGAGTAAGGTTCACGAACCCGGGCTTTCTAAACCCTTTTCTTAGCAGCCAGGGACCCACAAAGTTGCTAAATTCCCCAGGCTGGGCTCAAACTCGCAAACCTCCTGCCTCAGCCTCCCAGAGCAAGTGCTGCTGCCTTCCTCCCAGTCCTGGCGTTTAGGCGAGAAGCAGCCAGCCTGCACCAACGCGCAGGGCTTAGTAAACGCAGCCTAGAGCTCCTCCTGGTGGCTGCTCGGAGCCGTGACGCCAGACACCCCACCGCACCCCCACCCCCGCCCGGGGACCCCCTGCGGCGTGGAGGGGTGCTGCCCTGCGCCCGGCCCCGAAGGCGCATCCGCTGGGCGGCAAAGTGCTCAGGGGCAAGCAGGGTCCCCGCACAGGGAGCTCAGGGCGGATCTGAGGGGGGCCCGGCCTGCCTGCACACGCCGTCCCGCTGGGTCTGCGGGGGCGCACCCCGGAGGTCCAGCGCTGGGGGGCTGAGGCAGGAGGACCCCCACCTCCAGCCGAGCCTGGGCAGCCGAGGGACTTAATGAGACCCCGAGTGAA